TTTTTCTGGGGCCATTTTTTCCGGGGCCATTTTTTCTGGGGCCATTTTTTCCGGGGCCATTCTTACCTACATTCGAAACTCTAGTGTGACCGTAGCCAGAATGAAGCTAGCGCGTTACCCCTATATTCAAATATGGCAATAAATCTAAACTATCGCCCTATTTCAATTCTATCAATTTTCTCGAAAGCCTTGGAAGGAGTCATCTATGACCGTACATTTAAATTTATTTCTAAATATGACATATTCTACAACACGCAGTTTGGCTTCAGGAAAGGTTATAATACTTCAATGGCATTAATAGATCTGACAAACAAAATCGTTAATGCATTTAAATACCGACAACTCTCGATTGGAATTTTCATCGATCTTTCCAAGGCTTTCAATACCATTGACCACAGCATTCTTTTGTATAAATTATCCCACTATGGAATCCGTGGACCCACGCACAGCCTTTTTAAAAGTTATCTTTCTGACCGTGCACAATGTACCAAGTATTCCAACTCAGTATCCAATTTCAGACCAATTACATGTGGGGTCCCCCAAGGTTCCCTACTTGGACCTCTTCTTTTTATTATATATGTTAACGATCTCTATTTATCATCCAAAATTCTTTATTTTTCCCTTTATGCCGATGATACTACCGTTTTTTATTCTCATCATAATATCCAAACTTTATTTAATACTATTAATTCTAATCTCATTCCCATTTCACAATATTTTGCTGCAAACAAATTATCCCTGAATCATAGAAAGTGTAGCTTCATCCTGTTTGGGACTCCTTCTAAACTAAAAACCATTGACAGCCTATAAGATCCAAATTGATGGCCACGAAATAACCTCTGTTAAATCCGCCAAATTCCTTGGTGTTCTTATTGACAGTTGTTTGTCATCGAAAACTCACGTAAACGAACTCGAAACCAAAATTTCCAAGAGCCTTGGCATCATTTATAGGTTATCCACTTTTTTACCCTCAATATTCTTCGTATTCTCTTGTTCCATCATCCTTCCTTTTTTGAGCTATTGTAACATCGTTTGGGCCAATATATACTCGTCCACATTACAAAATCTGCAAATTCTTCAAAAAAAAAGGCTATCAGGATTATACCTGGCTCTCTACCACGCTCTCATTTATTCCATCTATTCTCAAACTTAAACCTACTGAAACTCAAAGATATCAATTTATTCCAACAAGGCTCATTTATGTATTCTGCAACGCATTCTCTTCTTCCAACTCAGTTTAACGATATATTTATTCACAACCACTCTATTCACAATTACTGTACCCGATCAACTAGAATTCATATACCCATTCATAATACAAATCACTTTCAGCACAATATTAGATACTCAGGTCTCACTTTCATCAACAGCTTACCATCCACAATTTTAAACTCCGTTTCTTCTAAATTTCCTCAAAGCTTAAAAAACACTTGATTTCAAATTATTAACTAAGCCTTTGATTTACATTATCGGTCGTTTCTCGATGTGTCCCGCTATGATCAAAGATTTATGCATTTATGATTTATCTATTTATTCATTTATTTATTTATGTAGGCCGACTTTTTTTTTTTTGTGTGTTACTTTTTTAGTATTTATTAATTCAGTTATTATTGTCCAACGAGTTTTCATATTGTTTTTTTTTTCAGGCTTGCCCAACTCAAGACTTCTCTTTTCGGGACCGAGCCTTCTTTCATTGCATGTTATCATTCAATGAAAGAAGGCTCGGTCATTGCATGTTATCATTCTCATCTTTATGATATTGTATATTGTTTTTGTAACTCATGCCAATGAAAGAAAATAAATGTTAGAAAATGTTAAGAATATGAATCAAACGAATTGATATGATTGAGTGGAAAACAAAATGTTGATAAGTGGTCGCTTTCAAAAAAGGTAATCGCCTACTAGAGGCAGTCTGTTGCCTGAATTATCAGAAGCCTTATCAACACTCCGTTTCAATCACCCAATTGAAAATGGAAGAGTCGACGTTTTCCTCGTCATAAGTGGCTGATGACGGTCAAAACAATCCCACCAAAACATCGTGACAACCAACCTGTGGTTTTACCTAAAAAAACATATTATTTTTGTACATGATGTACCGAAAAGTTTATGATTTTGTTATAAATTAACAAATAAACAAAGAAAATCACATCATCTCACCAAACAGTCCATCTAATAAAAATTTAAAAAGCACAAAGTACAATTACTCAGCCTGAGTAATAATTATCATAAACTTAGTAATTATTTGTATAAAAATATAATAATATTTTTATAGGGACATACAAAGACACTAGCAAAAAGAAAAACATTAAAATTTGGGGAAAATTAATAAAAATGAATAAAAAGCATACAAAATAAGAATTGATAACAAAATATACTGCACATCAGACCAAGCAAAGGGAAAAAATTAGTTTTGTTATTTTACAACAATAGATTATTGATTATTCAAAGAACAACCGTTTGTATACGCTGCTTGTTTCACTATTGTACTATTTTGGCGGCGTTTGCCATCTGTGTAACAGAGGACGGAGTTGGCTCAATCAATTGCCTAGCATCCGTGTATGTAGACGAAATGAAAGGCAAAACGTTCTTTATTATTATTATCCTGTTTACCAGTTTGTCGTTTATGTGGTTATGGACGACTAGTAATAGTAAGTACTTTTTGTGTAGTTTTACTCAATTACAGGGCTAAAACAATCATGAAGATGGATTTGAGGATCGGTTTGGATCATTTTCGATACTAAACATTTCTCGATGACGAGAAATGCTTGAGCTAATTTACATTTTCTATGTGGAGATAATCATAGGCAACATAAAGTTAATTGTAGCGTATCTACTGAAAACAAGTGTATGCATTTCCAGTGATTTTGCCACAGTGTGTTGTTTGCTTGTTAGTATTATTGCTTTCCATTTCAATTGGTTGAATTACAAAATTCCACAATTAGAAAAGTACTCAACAAAAATATACAGACACATATCGTAACTATAACTTTATAATAAGCTACCATAGAAAAAAATAAATTAATAAAAGCACATTGCACATCTATAAAAAAGAATATTTAGTAAATAAAACATGAAAATAGGGGATATCTTAAAAACAAAGAAACTTGAGTTTTCTAGCAGTAACAGAAAAGCTATAAGTGAAACCAAATACTCCTAAACATGAAAATTAAAACTATAATAATATACAAAATAACAATATTTTAAACATAAATAAATATTATAATGTAGGCCTAGTTCATGACAGAATCGCCTGAATTATTATTATTTTTTTCAATAGGAAATTACGTTGATCTGAAATATATTACTCCAAGTCAGTCGAGCCACGTGTCCGTGATGAACAGATATGGTTTGAAAGTGAGTATTCAGTTCCGTACTACTTGGAATAGGCATACTAACACGTGAACCTAAAAATTATAAAAATGAAATTGCTTATAGAAAGGAAATACTGACCGAAATATTGATTACTCAATTACCAACTGTAATCCGTATGATCTCGCATGTTAGAATCGATGTGTGGTCAATAGCCCTTACCGGGTTGCAAAATTGATTTTGTAAATTCCGTATAAATAATATTACAAGGGACTGCTGTTAAAATAGGTGGTATATGGCCTACTTATGTTGATGTATGTCGCATACTTATCAAATACTACGAACTGTATTTCACAATACGCACATGTAGTATTTAAGAGCAATAAAAGTGTTAATACTTTTACAAAATCTAATAACTTTGATTTAGAAATCCTATCTCGTTCGGTAACAAGTACAGTGAGGGCGTTCTCCTAAATCAGAAATTGATATCATTGCAGCAGGATCGCTTTACTTTCTTATTTTTCGTTTATATTTTTACATTTCTATATACAAGCTACAATATATTTTATACGTCAGTGTATATAACACGGTTCACTTTAAATTTAAGTACTTGATACATTAAATACAGTACATGAATCATAAATGTAGACTATACAGTATATAATTATGGTCCTGGTTTCGAATCCCGGTTGGAGAAACTTTTTATTTTACACTCGCAGATTCTCTTCCATTCAAAATGTATGTGCATTAGCGCAAGACAGTTTATAAGAAAGCCGTTAAATTATAAATAAATCATAAAAGAAAGGTAAATACAGTGTTCGAATAAAGGACATGAAGGTACATCGTGTAGCATCACTCTCAACGAATGCTCTCCTATAAACACTGTGTAATAAAATGTCTCCGACAGGATTCGACCTTTCGCTGTTAAGGCGAGCGTCGTAATCATTAGAACGCAGAGGCTTCATTGTATAACACAAGAGGGCGTTATACCAGATAAATCTGGAGGTACGGCTTGAAATAAACAGTAACACATATAATAAATCAAGATAGCCGTTAACACTGTTAAATTATCATCAAATTATCACCACAAAATTATATGTTCCCTTTTATCTCTTGTATTAAATAAATGTCTCTGGCGGGATTTGAACCTGCAACCTCTCGCTATCGATGCTAGTATTATACACATTAGAACATAGAGACTTAGGCAATAGGATATTATTGGAGTAGGCCTATTTTAATTAATGAACGGCTATACGTTATTTTGTGTAGGTTGAATCGGATGATGATTGGATTGGCCACCGGTTCGATTTGCGACGACAACATGTTAAAAAGTTATGCTCAGGTGACCTGTACAGCAAAAATACAATAGACAAGGCTAACCTCATTGTGGTTGATGAGTACAAGTTAATGTACTGCTCCGTCCCGAAGACAGGCTGCTCAAGTTGGAAAAGGTTATTCCTGGTTCTACATCGGTTATATAACTCGACGGGTGATATTTCGCCTGGCCAAGTACATCAAACTTTCAAAACCCTCGCCAAAGTAACAGAAGCAAAAGCAGAGGAAATATTACAAACTTACACCAAGTTTTTTTTCCTTCGAAAACCACTTGATCGTGTTCTTTCTGCATATAGAAATAAAATCGAAAGGAACGACATGGCCTGGAAGGGTATCAAAAAAATAATTGTACCTAAAATAAAGGAAATGTATAGAAAAAATAAATCCGTGGATGCAGAATTAATTAAGGATTATGATTCTGTGACATTTCAAGAATTTGCCCAATATTTAAGTGATAATAAAAACACCTTTTTATATCCATTTGAAGAACATTGGCGGGAAACCTATCGTCTATGTTCCCCGTGTGAAATTGATTATGATTATATAGGTCACTTTGATACCCTGATTGAAGATTCGACGTTTATACTGAAAACTCTAAATGAAACTCATGATTTCCCAGCTGCTGGAAATCCAACGAACAGCTCACAACAGTCTGTTCTTCAGAATTACTATAAACAATTAAACTTTAAAGAAATTGAACGACTTAAGGAACGGTATAGAGTCGATTCATTACTTTTAGATTCCATATAAATTAAGCTGACACAATGTTTAACAAAATTAAACTTTATTGGTCCAATAAAACAAAAAAAAACTAAAAGGAAGGAACCACACAAATAATGTAAAATCAATTCTTATTCAAGGATCAGACACAACCTCGTCTGACCCAAATATAATTAAAAACTCATTCGTGACTCACTTTAGTAACATCGGACAAATTAATGACAGAATCGGTAAAACTAATCCAATATTCGAAAACATAGTAATCATGATGATACTACTATTAAAACAACTCTAATTGAACTATCCTTTTCTTATGAAGATGTAGTTTAATCTATATCCGGTTGTAAAAATAATAAGAGCCCAGGTATCGACTCAATTACAAACGAAATTATTAAAAATGGGGAAACATAATGGCTACATCATTGTTTAATTTCAAAAGGCTTGCTGATCTCGAAAAAAAAATCCAGGTGAATAGAACAAAGGTATTATAATAATACCATTGTTTAAGAAGGGTGACACTAGGGGTCTCAATAATTATAGAGGCATCACATTGAATTCGTGTGTATTCGTGGACTTCAAAAAAAGCATTTGACACGGTCTGGAGAGGCGGACTTCTACTCGCAATCAAACAACTTTCAATGGGAACAAGGATTTTGGCTAATATTATCAAAGACCTATACACTGAAAGTGTAAAGTGCTATTCAATGATCTAGAAACAGAATTATTCTTTATAAATGAAGAGGTAAAACAAGGTTGTTCTCTATCTCTAATTCTGTTTTCAATATTTATTAACTTAACAAAATGATTATTGAAAGAAAATTAGGTGTCAGCATTTATAATGTAAAATAGGTAGTCTGTTTGGGCAGACGACGTGGTACTTGTTGGTGAAAATGAGAGAGACCTCACTATGCTATTACAGGCAGCAAGTGATTTTTCCGAGAAATGGAAGTTATCTTTTAATTTTCACAAACTGTTCTCATAACAGCACAACGAGTAAAATCAATACAGGAAATGGAAACTTGGAAATGATTCTATTTCAGAAAGTGATAATTATAAATACTTAGGGGGTAACCGTATCACGCTCATTGACCGACACGTACCATATTGATGAAGTAATAAAAAAGGGTAATAGTATTATAGCATACATAAAATCTATAAACAATGAAAACAGAATTTATTATGGTAACATATTATGAAGTCCATTGGTTTGCCAACCATAAATTACGTATGTTCAGTGTGGTTATGCAACGGCAAGACCCCTACAAAAAAGCTGGAAAACTTACAATACCAGATGGCTAAAATTATACTTAAAGGTCCCCGTAATGTTGCAAAAGAAGCGTTATATGGGGATTTAGTTTGGCAATCCATAGACTCCATTTAAAATAGTTTTAGACTGTCATATTTTAACATGTTAAAAAATATGGAAGAAAAGAGATGGCCTAGGTTACTACTGAAAGCAATCCTGCAAGTACAAAATGTTGTAAGATGGAAATGGCCATATGCAATCCAAAATATACTACAAAAATGTACGGTAACATGTTAAAATGTGTATATCATCGAAAACGATGATAGCTAGATAAAATCATGCAAAATAGAGAACAAAAAGACCGACGCTAAAGATTGGTATGGTATGTAAGAGCAAAATGAAGTCATCTCTTAGTGACTATATAAAATATAAAGGAGAACCAAAATTTTAACTTTATCTTCTTGATAAAACAAATTTTAAAGGAATCAATCTTAAATGCAAGGCCCGATCCAACTCACTAGAGCTTAAAGGAAGAAAGTCATCTTGGTCAAATGATTTTCCAGATAAATGTAAAATATGCCATGATAATACTAAAGAAACTGTTGACCATTTTATATTTGGATGTAACAGACTACAGATAATTAGAAATGATACTTTTAGAAATTTAAAAGAACTTTATTATTGGGGTCTCCGGTGTTCTTGGGATGACTTTGAAAATGGTTCTATAGAATTTAAACATCACTTGTTTTTAGATAAATTTATATGAGAACGGAAAATTGGACGACATTTTTGACCGTCATTGTAAACAATATACCGGTATTTGTGCCGCTTGCATCTGTAGAAGTAATATATACAAAGAATTATGCCTATCTTAATACCCTATATAATGCTGTTACTTAACGGTATATTTAATTTAACTTTATTTAGGTACGGTATTTCTTTTTGTAGTTTATATGGGTGTTTGTGCATGCTTGCAAGTGTATGTGGGTGTGTTTATATATATATATAT